ACCTCTTTTTACAACTGAAATGCTAACTGCCATAACAGAAAGGTTCTATTAATCATATAGTGGTGAGGCAAGGGCTATTGCTCTTTACATATCAAAGGTTTTTAATAAGGGTCGGCATGTTAAACTTCTTTATAAGTCTGAGGATACCCTTATAGGTTTCAGTCTTGACAAAAACTTGTTACCTTGTTAGTGAAGAAAGGCAGCTTATCTTTAGTGTGAACTTTCTTCTCTAAAACAGGGTTTTCACTATTAAAACTAAGGCTAAAAGTAAGGATTTTAAGGAGATTTAAGGAGATATATTCCTATTAGTTTTTTAAAAATTTACTTTAAAATATAACATTGTTGTTCCTGTTAAAAAGACACTAATTAATAAATAATTGCTGATCGAAGTTGTTATAAAGTTAAAGATTTATAGCAGCGCTATAACAAATAAAGTTTCCAAATAACAATTTATCAAAGTGTTAGTTAGTGCTAATAGCAACTACTTTAATAATTTTAACTAGAAAAAGATATATTATAAATATAATACAAAAGGAAAATAAGATTAAAAGGCGTTTAACAATATTAAAACTGATTTCTTTAATAGTATTTAATAATATATAATAATAAACATCATGGGTAACAAATTTCAACAGTTAACATTAAAACTTGTTGAGTTGCTGATAAAAACTTCTGCAGTATAAATCTCTATTGTACTCAGTGAATTGTTTTAGACTACATATTTATGTGATATCAACTAATTTTAACCACTCATTATGATTTATGATTTAATGATTGAAAAGAGTTTCCTAATTTCAAGTCAGGAAAACCAAAACAAATAAAACCAGCTTAAAATCCCGATCAAGTTTGCGCATGCGTTACTTTTCAGCCGCAGAAGCAATTTTTATACTCTTAGAGAGGCTAAATTTCCAGCCGCAGAAGACTCATGCTATATATATATATATAGATATATATATATAGATATATAGATATATGATATAGATATAGATAGATATATATATATAGAGATATATCTATCTATCTATATATATCTATATATATCTATAGCTATATCTATATATAGATATATATATATATATATATAGATATATATATATAGATATATATATATATATATATATCTATCTATATATATCTATATATATCGATATATAGATATATATATATATATATATATATATATATAGATATATATATATATATATATATATATATATATATATATATATATATATATATATATATCTATATATATCTATATCTATCTATATCTATATATATATATATATATATATATATATATATATATATATATATATATATATATATCTATATATATACATATATCTATCTATATATGATATATATATATATATATATATATATCTATATATATATATATATATATATATATATATATATATATATATATATATATATCTATATATATCTATATATATCTATATCTATATATCTATCTATATATATATATATATATATATATATATATATATATATATATATATATATATATATATATATATATATATATATATATATATATGTATATATATATATATGTTTATATATATATATATATGTATATATATATGTATATATATATGTATATATATATGTATATATATATATATATATATATATATATATATATATATATATATATATATATATATATATATATATATATATATATATATATATGTATATATATCATGAGTCTTATTTCTTATTTCGAGATGCCATAAAAAACTTCTTATACATTTAAAAGTTCTTTTAGACTTGAAAGTTTCTAATACATTTGTATTAAAAAAGTGTTTTTAATTAACAAAAATAAGTAAGTCTTGATGATTCAAAAATAAGTAAGTCTTGCATGATTTAACTAATTTAATTTTGATTTATTAAAGCATTCTGAATCATTTTTGGACGAAAAAATTATTGGACGAAAAAAAGACGTTCAAAAGACGTTTAGAAATTAAATTGGACGGACGGACGCTAATTAAACGTCCAAAGGACGTCTTTTTACTGTTTATAGCTTAATGGGTAAAAAGATCTTTGAAATTGAACAATGGTTGTTCACTTTTATAAAGAAACGTAAAACATAAAATTTTATAGACATTGAGTTCGAAAACGTTAAGTGCTTTAACGTTTTTAAATAAAATATTTAAATGAGAAAAACGATTTTCTAAACATATTTAAAAGCATTGCGTGTTTCTAACGATAGTAGAGATTTCGTAACTTACTTTTAGAGGTACTTCCCCAAACAATATCTGCATAACTTATATAGCTATGAATAAATGAGTAGTAGAGTTAAATTAAATTTTGTTTACTTATATAGTATCTGACCTTATATAGAACTCCAATACTTTTAGCTAATTTGGTAAAAAAAAAGTTGATATGATACTTCCATGCAATACTTTTATTAATGTAAATGCCTAAAATTCTAATGATCGACTCCTTTTTTATTTCAATTTTATCAATAACAAGTTTAGGTAAGTTATTTGGTAAAAAACGCTTTTTTCGAAGAAAGTGGAAAATGATCCATTTTGTTTCGTCAATGTTTAAAGTTAACTTGTTGCACTTAAACCAGTTGGAGATGTGATTGCGTTCTTTATTCATATTTGAAAAAAGCTCATAAATGTTACTGTTTGACAGAAATAAATTAGTATCGTCCGCAAAAATGATACTCATAAGGTTAGAAGCTTCATTTTAATCATTTATATAGACTAAAAACAAAAGTGGGTCTAGAATAGAGCCCTGTGGAACACCACATTTTATGTCAATTAATTTTTTATTTGGAAAATAATCTTAATAGAATAGAAATTGTTTTCTATTTTTCAAGTAACCTTTATACCATTTTATTAATTTGCCATTAATTCCGTAAAATTTGAGTTTTATAAGTAGAATTTTGTGAATGACTGTGTCAAATGCTTTTGATAGGTCAATGAAGATACCCAGTGTATATTGTGATCTACCAAATGAATTGGAGATTTCACGAATGAGCTGTGTAATGGCTTGTTCAGTTGAACAATTTTTTTTATATCGAATTGATTTTTATGTAGAAGTTTTCTAAGATTAAGGTAATTGTATTCTATTGTATTTAACTCTATTGTATATAACTCTTATATATTGTATATATATATATATATATATATATATATATATATATATATATATATATATATATATATATATATATATATATATATATATTGTATTTAACTCTTATATGTATATAATTCTATTGTATATAACTCTTTCTAAAATTTTTGAGAAAGTTGAAAGAACTGAGAAAGGGCGGTAACTACTAATATTTGATTTTTTTTCCGTTTTTGTATATAGGAGTAAATTGAGCTATTTTTAATAAATGATAAAGGTGTATTCCTTAAATAAATTTAAGGAATACTCCTTGCTGTATAGATGCCCTGAAGACTTAATAAAAAATACATTTTAAGTTTTCAAAGCAATCTATGACTATGTTGCCATTTATTTCGTCCGCATCCGTAGCTTTGTTTCTTTTGAGAGAATAGTAAGTCAGAATATAAATTATCTAAAAAAAGCGAATTATTTATAGGCTCTAGGAAATCACTAATTTTTTTTTCCGTAATAGAAATCTTATTTGACAATTTAGTTCAATAAAATATTTATTAAACTCGTTTGCAATTTCGTTTGGTTTATATATATTGGTTTTATTTATTTTAATTACTTTAGGAAGGGAGTTTGAATTTGTTTTTTATTTTCCTGTTATTTCTTTCAACGTTCTCCAAGTATTTTTTGAGTCGTTTTTAAATTTACTAATTAAATTTGAATAGTAGTTTTTTTTGAACTTTTTCAAATAAATGTAGGTAATTTTTATATTTTTGTTGGCTTTCATTTAATTTTGTTTTTAAATATTTTATATATAGTTTCTCTTTAATTTTAGAGGATTTTCGAAGCTCTTTGCAAATCTATGGACTATGTAAAGTTTTTATTTTTATTATTTTTTCACAAAGGGCGAATAATTAAAGGAAAAGCTCCTGTCATAAATATTTCACCATAAAAACTTGTTACTGTTTTTCTGTTTTTTTTTTTATGTTATGTTATTTTTATGTTTATTATAAACTAAACAGTTCATGTTGAAATCTCTAATTATAAAAGTAATTTTGTTTTCTTTGCTACCTTTGAAAATGATATTTTCCTGTTAAAAGAAACTAAGATTTTTTGACGTACCTTCAGGTGGTCTATAACAGCAGCTTAATAGAATACTTTTTTTTTATTGTTTAAAATTTCAATAGTTACGATTTCACCGTCAGAAACGCACATATCATTTTTAATATTACGTGCAATGTGGCCCATAACGTAAATCAGAACTCCTCCACACCGTTTATTTAACTAACACCAGTTGACTACAGTCTACAACACATAAACACAGTAGACTACATTTAGTTCATAAATAAGTTTATAAACACAAGTTGACTACAGGTTCATAAACACAGGGCACTTTATCTTAACACAAAATCCAATTTGCGTGTGCTCAAGACAAAATCATTGATAACCATGTCCGGGTCAATATTAATTTCTGGGTGAATGTACATAAGGGCAAGACCATCAACCATAGAAAATCGTATTCTTAATTTTTTTGGTATTGAACCACTGGGGAAACTCACTTGGTATGGAGTGACGACTGCAGAATTTGTAGGTAGTGAACCACTGGGCAAACTCACTTGACTGACGTCGTCAACTGTTGTAGTTGTAAGACTGGAAAATAAGCAAAAAAGAACACGGTGAATACTCTTCTAACATTTACATGTAGCATCACCGCTACTGACTTACATGTAGCATCACCGCGACTGTAAGTTAATTGTCCAATGTCCACACAAAACCATTTTGTATGGACATTGGACAACATTAGCTTTAGTTACTTTGTATAAACAAATAAAATACAATTAAAAAAACTGTTCTATGTTATAAAAAAACCGTTGTGTGTAAATACAGCTCATGTCATGTTTGTTGAATCAAATTCATCTCCCAAATCATCAATTAAAGAATCCATGACATCTGTGTGGGGTGTTAGAGAGATGAATGAGTGTAACTATGAGGTCATTGATAGGTTTCGTCACACCATTAAATATGATAATACCCTCAAACGCTATAATGTTAACTTGCCCTTTAAAGAAGATCATCCTCCACTTAGTGATAACTTCGATTTATGTATCAAGCGTTTTAAAGGTCTTCAAAAGAAATTAAGTAAAGATGATTCTTTACTTAAATTATACATTGACATTTTTAAAGAACAAATTTGAAATAGTACACTACCTACCGCACCAACCAGTTCTGAGAAATGACAAAGTTACTTCTAAAGTCAGAATTGTCTTCGATGCAAGCAGTTCTGTTAATGGCCCTTCATTTAATGACTGTCTCTACCCTGGACCATCTTTAACCACATCCTTATATGGAATCCTCTTGCGTTTTCGTGCCCAAAAAATTGCCTTTGTGGGAGACATTGAAAAAGCGTCCTTGCAGATTACATTATCTCCTGAAGATCGTGATTACGTCCAATTTTTGTGGTTTGAGAACATGAACTCACTTAATAAAGACAATATATTTACTCAAAAAATTTTTCCATATAGAATTTGCAGAGTTCTGTTTGGCGTTACATCTTCTTTTCTTCTTTCTGCAACACTAATTACTCACGCTGAAAAGTACCTCTCTGATGATCCTATATTTGTTAATAAATTAATGAATTATTTACATGTCGATGATCTGAACTAAGGAGCTGCTCAGTTGACTCAGCCATTAATTTTTATCAAAAATGTCAAGACCGATTAAAAGAAGCTGGCTTTACTCTTTAAAAACTCGAATGGAACTGCAAACAATTTGAAAACTTAGTTAATGAACAAAATTTTACCTCCTTTAATCTTACTAAAGTGTTAAGCTTATTATGGAATAAAAAAGAAGACAACTTAATCTTTGATTTTAGAAACTTGACACACAATGATGAGTCGATTCCAACGAAACATAAAGTTCTTCAGTTTATTGCAAGCATTTATGACCCACTTGGTATAATTAATCCATTTATAGTCAAGTGTAAAGTATTCTTTCAAAATCTATGTATCAAAAAACTTAATTGTGACAAGCCTCTTGAGGGAAAAATGTTATTGGTGTGGCAAGCCATTATCAATGACATTCAATACTCTAAACCCATTATCATTCCTAGGTGGTACCATAATAACTATTTATATCATGTCGTTGACTTGTCATTGCATGGATTTAGTGATGCTTGTAATATAGCATTTGGTTGTTGTATATACTTGTTGTGTTCCGTTGATGATGAGCACAAAGTATGTTCACTTATAACTGCTAACTCTAGGATTGCCCAAATTAAAAATACCTCTATTCCCCGACTTGAAGTAAAGGCAGCCCTATTATTAGCTGAAACTATGTCATAAGTTATAAGAGATTTATACCCTATACTTAAATTTAAACAAATAGTCTGTTGGTGTGATTCTACTATAGTTTTACAGTGGATTAAAAATATTGATAAAGTTAAGCAGTTATTTTTACAAAAGAGACTTATAAAAATTAGAAAAACATTTGACATTTCGCATTGGCGATATATTGAAACATACAACAACCCTGCTGAAATAATATCCAAAGGTACAAACTTAAAAACTTTATCTAATAATAAAACATGGTTAAACGGACCAGCACTTCTTTATGGGACTGGCCAAAATTTGAATTAAAAAATGTTATAGATAAAATTGAAAAAATTACTACTAATTTAGTTTTAAATTAACATTATTTAGACTTAAGTATGATTGACATTACTCGATTTAATAACTATTTGCGACTGTTAAGAGTTACAGCCTTTGTACTACGATTAGCTAACTTAAAACTTAAAAAAAAAAGATAAAAAACACTTAAAGTTATCTAATTTAGATTCAATTGAAATAGAAGAAGCATTTAAGATATGGATTATATTCGTTTAAAGAGATATAACTACTTGTAGAAATTTTAAGCAACTGCAACTAGGCCTAAACTTAAAAAAATATAGGTGGAATCATACGATGCATTGGTCGACTACAAAATGCACCAATTACACACGACGCAAAAAACCCAATATTCCTACCTCTAAATACAGAATTTACAAACTTAGTTATTTATCATAATCATTATTTAGTTAAAGAAACTTTAAACCAAATTCGAACTCAATTCTGGTTTACCTAAAGCACGAAACTATATTAAAAAACTGAATAAAAACGTTCTATTTGTAAACGCTTTGAAGGACTGCCTTATTTACATCTTTCTTCCCCTCCTTTACCCTTATGTCGTTTAAATAATGATCATGCATTCAAATTTACAGGTGTAGAATATGCAGGACCATTATACATTAAAAATATTTATGAGTGAAATAATTAATATAAAGAGTAGATATTTTTATTTACATGTGCTACTACACGTGCTTTATTTTTAGATCTTGTTCCGGACACTTCTGCTTAATCATGCATAAGAAGTGTACTGAGTTTTTTTGCGAAACGTGGCACTCCTTTCGAAATCCTCGACAACGGATCGCAATTCACCTCCAATCTTACTCAAAACTTTACTTCATCTCGCGGTATCACGTGGAATTTCAACATCCCCGCTGCTCCGTGATGGGGAGGGTTCTTTGAACGACAAGTTGGATCCACTAAACGCTGCCTTCGCAAAATAACACATAAAGATCAGCTTTCATACGAAGAACTGTTAACATTTCTTGCGGAAGTAGAATCAATATTGAACAATCGACCAATCACGTTTATGTATGAATCACCTGGAGACTTACCACTTACACCCAATCATTTAATATATGGAAGATCAACTAACTTTAAAGCTATTAACGACAAAATATATGAATTGAACTTGAACACCCGAAGTACATACATAGAAAATACATTAAATCATTTCTGACAAAGATTGGAAAAAGAGTACCTAACCGAACTTAGAGAATTTCACAAATGTAAGAAAAATAAAGGAACAAATAACATAGCCGTCGGCGACGTTGTACTGATTCACGACTCGGACACCAGACGAGGTAATTGGAAAACAGGCATTGTTCAGAGCCTCAGTAACTCATCTGACGGACTCAACCATGCTGCCAAAGTTAGATACATTATGAATGGAAAAACAATGTACATTCAAAGACCTGTAAACAAACTATATTTATTAGAAGCATTGGACGCCCCTATTGAAACAATGAAGATCAATTTCTGCGATGAAAAGGACAAAACATTTTGTTATAAATTAATTGGGGGCGAAATGTCGCGCTCACTAGCGCGGCAACGAATTCTTGTTATTTGTGTTATATTACGCGAACGTTGTAATTTCTTGAGTACGTTTTACATTATTTTACATTTTAAACGAGAATATATTTATATACATATCAAAACAGTATGGTTTGTGAATGAACCACACACTAAACCCCTTTTATATCGAATATATGCTTTTAGGAAAAATAAACCCATCATATAAATCTCTTATAAGCTTAACGTATAGGAAAAAAATGAGCCTGTTAAGTTTTTATGCTCCTAAAGTAGTATTTTAGAATAAATTATTTGGTTAAAAAATACTGTATTAATAAGTATAATAATAATGATCGGTGTGGAATAGATAAGAATAGGAGTGGTCGGTTTGGTAAAGACCTGTATTTAACGGTTGCGGACAGCAAGAAAATAACACACTTACGCACACATTTATCATTAAAAAAAAGTGTACAAAAGGTCAGCGCGGAATAGACTTACAAAGTTCCTTATATTTACAGATCCGGTCAGTTACACTCTAAGAGAAAATTATATACAAAAAAAGTTATATACAAAGAACTACATCTGTCGCTATTGCACCAACGGATTTTCCGTTATGTTAACGGATTAAAATTTTAATGGATTGAAGTTCGTCGATATTAGTCCGTTAAAATTACGAATTTTTTCCGTTCGGGCAACAAACATTTTTTGAAAATAAATTAATCATTATACTAGGCGGCTTTAGCTGTTTCGGTAAAAAAACGAATTTATTACGTCATCATATTAAATAATTTATTATTCCCTTTATTAAGATTAGAATGGAACTAAAAACTGACATTTTATTACAAAAAAGTCCTTATTTTTAATATATAGATTATTTTATTATGTGACTCAACATATGCTTCAAGCAGTAATACTTATACAAACTAACTTGATCGGGAGAGATTTTTTAGCAAGTTTTAAAAACGATTTAACATTTAAATTAAAAACTAATAAATCATTTATAATAATTTTATTTTGTATAAAACTTCCAATAGCAATAAAAATTCAAAAATTTAAATAAAGAAATAAAATTTTTAAACACATCAGTAGTTGTAAAATTTTTGAACAAATCAAGAATAAAAAAAAAGTCTTTCACCTTTTTATTTAATAATAATAAACATTTTTAAAATATTAAAATTAGAACTTAAATTGAATACCTCATGTCTAAATTCCACATATTTAAAGTAGCAAGTTCTATATATATATATATATATATATATATATATATATATATATATATATATATATATATATATATATATATATATATATATATATATATACATATATATATATATATATACATATATATATATATATACATATATATATATATATATATATATATATATATATATATATATATATATATATATATATATATATATATAAACAAGCAATATATAAACTTAGTTGTAACTAGCTTACAAAAATAAATAAATTTTTGTACAACTAATTCGAAATTACAGTGACACGTGTCTAAAATAGTAAATTATAAAACATAAATATACAACTTATAACAATCTATATATAAACTTTGTTGTAACTAGCCTATATAAATATTTTTCATTTATCTATGCACCTGGAAAATTTCATTGAAAAAAGAAAAAAATTGTAGCAGGGTGTCTATTTTTTGTCACACTTTTGGTACCTAATTCTTTGCTCAAATGGGCGCGCAAGACAGAGGGTTTATTTAAACATTTTTTATATTTGATTTAGATTAAATAAGATTTTAATTTTTTTTTTTAGATTAAATATAATGGAAGGTCAAAATAATGATAAAGGTTTTCAATATTGTTTCCTAAGTATTGATATTTTAAAAAGAAATTATTTGCCTTTTAATGTAAAGATATTAAAATTTAATACTTTAAACTTTTAAATTTAAAGTATTAAATTTTAATCATTGAAATTCATTTAGATAAAATGAATTTAAATGTTTCCTTACTTTAAAATTTAAAGACATTATTAATATTATAACATATTTTATCTTACATTGTATTACAATGTAATAAATAATATAAATAAAATACACCTGTATTAAGTAATATATATAAAATACGGTTATATATATCTAATATATGTTAGTGAAATTATTCAATTTTTATGTATAATACATGTAACGTAATAATGAAAAACATTTGTTATATTGTTTTACCAACTCAAATCAGTCTAATTAAGGCAGCGAACAATATTAGTTAGTTTTTTTACACATTCTAATATCCATTAATTTCTTTTAACTTAAGATCAGTAAATATAGTCTAGACAAATATTAGTATTAATTTGTTAAAAAAAGTTTTTCAATTGTTTTTTAGATGATGCTTTTGAGTAGATAAGTCAGTTTCTTTGTTGTGCTTTATTATTTTAGTATTTAGTCTTCTGCTGTCAGTATTCATTTAAAGATCTTTTTCATGCTACAATTATCCACAAAGTTGTTTTACAGTTGTTTATTTATGT